ATTTCTCAACCATTTTGAAAACTTCCAAAATAAAATTTGCTTGAAATTTGAACACGAATTCAACCATACCACTTATTTTTACTAACACTCAAAGATTATCAAGAATTTTGCTCAGTACCAAAAATGAACCCTAACTGGTCAGAGCTAAAATTTTCAACACACAAGCAATATAAATGAAAACTAAGGACATGGTTAGCTTTAGAGGTATGATATCTACATTTTTGGTTTAGAATGTATTTGCAAATGATGCTTAAATCAAGATATCAAAGTTCGGAAAACTTCCCTTTTGAAGTGAAAACTCAGAACGCGTATGGATGCTTTCAGATGCAAATAAATGATGCCAAAAGCTTCCTTGGTCCTCCCTGAACGCGTTCCAATGCTTACTTTGTACTGGAAGTGTTTGAATCTCTCCAACCAAGTCAACTTGCAAGGCACTGTTTTTGAGTTTGGAAGATGGTGGTAATGATGTTACAGAAGTGTAACAAGGGTATGGAAAAGTTCTAAATGATGATTATGAGGTGTTTGGATGGTTAGCTTGTAAAGATATGGAAAGGGTGGTGAGTTTCAAAGTTAAGGTTTTCAAAAGCTCAAAAATGGAGGTTTTGGCCAAATTTTATTTGAGAGGGATTGAGGGGTATTTTGGAGCTGTTCATTCGTGTCTTGGCTTGCAAATGAACCTTATATTTATAGGCAAAGGGTTTGAGGAGCTGAAGCAACCAGGTTTACAAGATAACAAATTATGCCTTGGTTGCTTAGTTTTGAAGTAACTTTGAAGAACATGGTTCCAATGCAATGTATGGTGGTTGGTAGGTTTAGAGATATTGCTTCTTGATGATGAGATATTTTGAAGTCAGAAATAACAATGTATGGGCTCAAGGAGAGTTGACATTGTGTATAAAGTCACTTTATAAGAATGGAAGTGTGATCTTTTTCCTTTAAATGGAAAGTAAGCTTGGACAAAGCTTGAATCACTTGGATAATGGCTAAAAAGTGTGTGAGATTTTCTGATTATGGATAGATTTGGAGGTTTAGAGGCCTGCAAAGTGAGATTATGCAACATGGTATGAATATTTGATCATAAGGTTTTTAAAAGAATGGCCTATAATTCAAGTTTGACATGCCATCTTCATCTATTCGAAACCTCTAGCTCAAGAGTGATAAATTTGTGTTCTTGGACATTTTGGAAAGCTTGAAACATTTCCTACAACTTTCATGTTGACCACTTTGGCTAAATCAAATGGGAACTTGGTAGAAATTGGCCAAGAAGTTAGGATAAAAAATTGATCAAAACTTGTTTGAAAAAATTTCTAAGTGTTGGATAAAAACATCATAACTTCATGGGATTATATCTCTTAAATTAAGCACTTTTTGAGAATCACCCCACATTAACAAAGTTGTATAATTCATCAATTCCTATAACTTTCATGTTGAAAGTTTTCCTTGAATCAGCTTGTGTCTTGAGGAAACTTGCTTGTGAAGTTAGGGTATTTTAGGTATAAAACACTTGAATTTTTCTAAGTGTTTGAAAATCTTGACTTTTGACTTTTGTTGACTTTCTTGATTCTTGATGACAAAGTTTGATAGTTTTGAATGTTTTGATGATTCTTGATTTTTGAATTCCAATGTTGACCAAAAAGTCAAAGTTTGACTTTTGTGTGACTGTTGACTTTTCATCAATTGATTCAATTCTTCAACTATCAATCACTTGTATATTTTGAAATTTCTTGAGCCATGTAATTAGGTCAAGATGTTGTATTTGAGTCCTTAAGATCACACTTAAAGCCATTAGGTCATGCACTAGGCCAAAATTCAATGATCAATCATCCTCAATCAAAACCCTAATTTGGCAATTTTTGACCTTTGATGATTTGAGGGTTTTTACTTGAGGTATCATGATCAACCCTTAATCAAATGAAGAATATCACCTCAAAATGTTGATGTTGACCAAAAATATTGAAGTTTGACTGTATGTTGATCCTAGTTGACTTTTTGTCCAATACAGTTGATTTTCAGTCATCTGAGCAATTGACTGAGCAAACTTGTGATGCAAGACTTGAAACTTGACATAAGCATTATTAAGGACCTATGATGAACCATGAAAGTCATTTGAGACCCTTGCAAACCAATTTTATTTGAGAAGCACCAAACCCTAGTTGAAGACCCTTGCTTAGAAGGTGGTTTTTATCAGTCAACTTTTGAGTAGCTTTGAGTATTTGAGACCTCATGAGAATGTCTTGAAGAAAATGGGAGGGAAAATTTTGGGTTACAACACCTACAAAGCACGCGGAGGAACTACCGTCCTTAGGCGACGGGACCACCGTCAACAACCAACACTCTGCAGAGAACTCTCACACTAAGTTACTCTAAACCCAAAACCGCATGCATTTCTAAAAGAAGAGGCGCACAACCTAGCCTACAACAGAAACAAATTCTACAGAAATAGGGAAGAACATAGAAACTTACCAAATTATCGGCAGAGCAAGCAACGGGGAACGGAGAAACGGAAGAAATGCTTCAAAAAACAATTATGTCGAGAAGGAATAAGCAGCATCGAGCGGAAGGAGAGCAAGCGAAAAAGTGAAAATGAAGCTCCTTCTTCGCCCTTTATAGAAAATCCTGCAGGCACGTGAGCAAGCACCCGCCTAGGGAACCCTAAAAGGCATCATCGTTGTGCCTTAGTCCATATGCTAGGCATCATCACGCCTTTATGGCAGCAGGTGGCTCGATGCAAGCGTGGCACGCAAACTCTCTAGATTCCAACTAATTGTTCCTCCCCCGAGAGACGAACACACCAGGAAATTTTCAGACTCCTCGCCCAAAATTGCCCCTCGAAACACGATAATTCCTCGAAGTCGCTCAATTGTTACTCTCCCCGCAAGACGAACGCGGCGAGCATCACTTGTACTCCTTGTGCGAAATCGACCAATGAGCACCCCCGTTTCGCGAGCACATCTAAGTCATCACTCCTCTGCCTAGAAGCAACGACTTGGGGGAACTCCTGTTTTGGACTGCCCCAATAGCTAGAATTGGCCTAATTCGCTTATACCCTTGGCACGAGCCAATAACACTGGCCCAACATCCCTGGCCGACCACGCTCCAAGAAGCGCCACCAGCGATGCCCGATACGCACACCTGACCAAGCCAGCATCTATCTCTCCGTTTGGCCGACATGAGTCGAGCAGACAACCAGGAAACGCCCAGAACGTTGCTTTGCCCGTAATCTACCTCCTCTTTGAAACAAAAGACTAGTTACGGGAAAATGTGTCTGTTTTGACCGAGTCTTGGCAGTTACCTATTTTTGCGGACCTGCATATTTAGGCCCGAAAATAAGAACCAATGGCCAAGCGTCGAGGGAATTATATAAATTCTCACACATGTGAGGGTCGGGTATCCAATATTCAAACCTTAAACCCTAATATTCTGCTCGTATCTCTTTGCACTCATTCTTACTTGATCGTCGGAGTGCGTTGCAGGTACAACCCCCCTTCTCTCCTCAACTTTCCAGCAAGTCAGATATCATCTTTCGGTCCATTTGCAGGTTTTGATCAACCGATAAGATCATTTAATAAAGTTGATAAACATACATGTGTATATAATAAAAGTAAAAAAATATATAAATATATATTATGCGGGTACGAGACAAGGTGGTTATGCCAACTTATTTTCGCGAATAATTATGTGTGTTTGTGCCCATGTTTATTTTGTGAGTTTTTATCTTATCCATTGTAAATGATTTTTAAGGATATCTGCGGATATAGATAAAATTCTCTTCTCTACTCTTTTATTATATACAAGTAAATGTCTCAAAAGCTGAGTTAAGGTGATGGTAAGTTATATTTTGAAAGTATTACAATATATAGAAGATAAAACTAAATGTTTATATTAGAAACAAATAACAATTTAAAAAAAATGAATGTACAACTTTTAACATATTTTTTATAATTAATACATTAAGTTGCTTTCTTAGAATCCATGATAGCATTTTCATTTATTTATTTAAAATAGCTGCCCAAAAGTATTTCTTGTTTCCAAGTGAAGCAACCTCACCACCGACACATTTCCAAGTTCAACAAGTGGTTGTCATTGAGCAATGTTTGGTGAGGAACTAAACAATAGACAATGGAGTAGTTGATATTGATGACTTGTGAAAAAGCTTAGCATGTGTTTGTCTATTTGATTGTTTATAACATGTGTTCACTTACGATTATGATTTTGCCTACATGCCACGTGGGAATGTCTCTTCTAACCTACCCAAACACATGTTGAATCCATTTTTTATTTTCAAATAGGTTTTAATTACATAATCATTCATAGGAATAAAAATCAACAATTGGACTAGGATAAAATTCATAAACCTAAAGCTAAAATGACGTATTTTGGTAAAATATTCCGGTCTCTTTCCCTCATTTGCCTTGTTATAAAATTATTTATTTGCTTTATTTGAACAATAGGAGGACAGACACATATCAAATTCTGGATTACTTTACTTGAAAGCAATCATTCTGGATTCTTGCATCCAACGTTACTTGTCAAAATCTTTCTTTTTCTGGAGGCAAATTCTGTACAAAAAAAACAGTTCTCATATTTTATTTTATCTTTTTAATTTTGTTCCTTTGTTCTGTGTTCGTAGGAGGTAGTATATAATGCCGTTTCACCAAGTGCTTTTCATAAAATGAAAAAATAAGCAAGTATAAATAAATTAAAACAAATCCAACGTCATACAGTAAGTATATATTTTTCTAATAATCAATCATAACCCACACAGCCGCAACCAAAACTTTATTCAAACCCAACTGGTCTCATTTGAGAGAAACCAATAGGTGTTCTTGCTCTTACCCTTCAACCCAATGTGGAATTGAGATTCTAGGATAATAATCCAAAAGAATCCTCAATCTACCACAAATCTAAAAAAATGTAATGAGAAAACAAAAATATTCCATAATAGAATGAAAAACAATACGGATAGAATCATCTTTATTCTTTCCTTCTTCAACAATCCTTCAATACCTGTAGTGAGCAGGCTTGTATGGACCCTCAACAGGCACACTGATGTAATCTGCCTGATCTTTGGAAAGCTTGGTTAGCTTAGCTCCAAGCTGGTTAAGATGAAGAGAAGCCACTTTCTCATCAAGGTGCTTAGGCAAAACATACACCTTCTTTTCATATTTCCCAGAAGTCTTTTCCTTCCATAGCTCAATCTGAGCAATGACTTGGTTAGTGAAAGAGCAGGACATGACGAAACTGGGATGTCCAGTAGCACATCCCAAGTTCATCAAACGACCTTCAGCCAAAACAATGATACCAGAGTTGTTTTCAGGGAAAACCCATCTATCAGTTTGTGGCTTAATCGTAATACGTTTCACGCCAGGGTAGGTCTCGAGACCATGCATATCGATTTCATTGTCGAAGTGACCAATGTTGCAGACAATGGCATTGTTCTTCATTTTCTTCATGTCACTGACCATGATAATGTCTTTGTTTCCAGTGGTGGTAACGAAAATGTCAGCCTCCGACACAACATCCGCAAGAGTCAGAACTTGTAGACCTTCCATGAGTGCTTGAAGTGCACAGATTGGATCGATCTCAGTCACGACCACACGAGCACCACCTTGTTTCAATGCAGCAGCACAACCCTTGCCAACATCTCCGTAACCACATACAACAGCAATCTTTCCGGCAATCATCACATCAGTAGCTCTCATCAATCCATCGGGAAGAGAGTGACGGCAACCATACAAGTTGTCAAACTGTTATCATCACAAAACAACATTGAATTGTCTATTAGATCAAACAAAAATAAAACAGAATTGAGACTCAAGTTTATCAAAAATTTAACAGATCTGAACAAATCACATTTTACAAAACCAAAAATAGAAAAAGTACCTTGCTCTTGGTGACAGAGTCATTGACATTGATAGCAGGGAACAAGAGAGAACCATTGGCTTGCATCTGATAAAGCCTCTTAACACCGGTGGTAGTTTCTTCGGAAACACCAACAATTCTATCCTTCATCTTGTGGTAACGTTTTGGATCGGTTTTCAAACCATCTCTGATAATGGTATAAACGATCTGCATTTCAGCGTTATCAGTTGAAGAAGGATCTGGCAACGTACCATCCTTCTCGAAAAGCTTTTCAGCTTTAAGACCTTCATGGATCAAAAGAGTGACATCACCACCATCATCAACAATGAGATCTGGACCACCGGAAGGACCCCAGTCAAGAGCGCGTTCAGAGCACCACCAGTACTCCTGGAGAGTTTCACCTTTCCATGCAAACACCGCCGCGCTGTCGCGAGCGATGGCAGCAGCGGCGTGATCTTGCGTGGAGAAAATGTTGCAGGAGCACCAGCGGACTTCGGCGCCGAGAGCGGTTAGGGTTTCGATGAGGACGGCGGTTTGGATCGTCATGTGGAGGGAACCGGTGATTTTTGCGCCTTTGAAGGGCTGGGAAGGGCCGAATTCAGCGCGGGAGGACATGAGGCCAGGCATTTCCACTTCGGCCAGCTCGATTTCGAGACGGCCGAAGTCGGCCTGAGACATGTCCTTCACTTTGTATTCACGGCCGCTTGTGGTGGTTTCAACCAGCAACGCCATTTTGGAAGAAATGTGGAGTGAAAAAAAGAGAGAGAATGTGGTAGGGGAAGAGAAGAGAATGAGAGTGTGTTTGAGAGTGGGGGAGGTGTGAGTATAAATAGGTTTGAATGGCTCAAATGAACGAAGCGTATTGTTTCACGTGGTTATGGTTGAGATTAATCTAAACCTATTCCTACTTCATCTCCTTTCTAAGATTATTAACTATTAACTAACTCTAATTTTAATCCGTGTAAAAAATTAGAATATATTTTTCTAACTTAAAAAGCTTTTTTTTAACCTAATGCGGATCACGGATTTTACTGATCTCAAGTTACCAATAAAAAAACTAGAGATGATATCAACCTTTTATTTATTTTTTAATATGTGGTTAAAATAATAGTAATAAAAATTCATTTTGATTATAAAGATTAGTGTAATAGAAACCAAACTAGAGCGAAGGGTTATTTTACTTTGGTGGTGTTTACGTCCTTTACTTCAACGTCAAATAAAAGACGTGTACGACCTTTCTCACACACCAATAACAAACTTACATTACCTACCCTCTTTTCTTTTGTTGAAAAAAACACTCTACTTTAAAGTACATAAGTCTTGAGTAGTAACGCATTTTTGTGCAAAATGTTTTATTGTATACTTCGTATAACATAAGGAAATCAAGAGTGATCGATGTGAAAATGTTTTAGGTAAGTGATGTGATAGAAATGAAAGGAGTAATATCTTAAATAGATGATGAAATATTATGAACCACCTTTATCAAATTTTTATTCCCTGTGGAGATTATGGTCATATCATACGTGTGTATTAAATATAAGTTTAATTGGGGCGTGTATTAAATATAAAATTTGACTGGAATTTATGAAAAATAAATGTTACTATTTTAAAAATCAATTTTGTAAATAATGAATGATGTCCAAGATGAAAGTTTTGATATACTAACGTTCTTTTTCAAATATATTATTTTTAAGAAAAATAGTGTATTATGACAAGATTGCTTTCACTCTTTTATATGTTCAATTTTTTTTTGAGATTGGGTCATTAAAAGTGGGTTGGTTATAGTTAGGATTCAATAGAATCTTATCTGAAGGATACTTTGTCTAGTAGAATAGAGTCGAATTGAGGCAGTTGATGAGGAGCATTGATCATGTATGTTTTTTTGAGGTCGGGTTAACAATAGTGGATTGGGTTATAGAATGATTACTAGTTCAAAAGAAGATCGAGTTAAGGTTGTTGATGGGGAAGGTTGATCATGTTTTTTTTAGGTGGGACCATCATCAATAGTGAGTTAGGTTATAGTTCGGATCTGATAGAACCTGATTTGAATGATAACTCGTCCAATAGAGCACGGTCGAGTAGAATCGGTTGATAAGGAAGGTTGATCATGTCCATGTTCTTGAGGTTGGGTCATCAATAATGGATAAGGTTATAGTTCAAATACAATAGAACTTGATCTGAATGATAGCTCGTCTAGTAGAGTCAGGTCGAGATGAGGCAGTTGATGAAGAAGGTTGATCATGTCTATTTTCCTGATGTTGGGTCCTCGATAGTGGGTCGGGTTATAGTTCGAATCTAATAGAACCTAATCTCAATGATAACTCGTCCAGTATAATAAAATGAAATTGAGGTAATTGATGAGGAAGGTTGATAATGTTTGTTTTCCTAAGGCGTGTTATCAATAGTGGATTGGATTATAGTTCAATACCAATAGAACCTAATCTAAATAATTACTTGTCTAGTACAGTTTGATTGAGTTGAGACTTGAGCCAACTGATAAGGAAGGTTGATCATCTCGGCATAAAATTAATGTGAAAGCAATATTTAATTAGGATACGGGATATAACGCATTTGTGGTTGATTGAGATCATTATGACATAACATTTGACAATCAAGTCTAATTGTCAATTACTGTTAAACTTGATTTGTCAATCATCGTTGAATCTATTTATTAATCACTATTAAAAGATCACACGAATCAAAGACAATCACATTAAATAGCCTCTAGTGGGCCTTAAGTACTCTAGTAGATTTTAAGGAGCAGATGAGACATAATCTCAAGAATGATCGCAAAAAAAAAAGACAAACAATTCACATAATAAATATTTGATTAAAAAAACTATAATTTTACTGACTTTCATTCATACTTTTATAAATACAACTCTATTTTTCAATTCTTTATCCAAACTATCAAACAAATATTATATATCTTATATTTATTAATTTAAATGAGTTATATCACAATTATGGATGAATAAAATATTTGATATTTTTTGTGTCAAAAAAATATATTTGATATTTAATAATTTAAATATTTGGATTGAAATGTTGCATTTTTATGATTTGAATTATCATTAGTCAAGACTATTTTAAGTTTTTGAAGGTTTTATATAGATTAATTAAAGTTTAACTATTACAAAATAATTAAAAGTTTAACTATTACAAAATAAATAAAATTTAATGTAATCATAATTTAACATAATAAATTTGGTATTGTTGAGATTATAATTCCTTGTGTCGAAGTAGGTAGTACTCGACAGGAACAAGGATGTGTCGAAACATGTAGTGTGCGCGTCGAGTTGTGTTAGCCATCGAATTGTCAATGCAGGTTGTTTGATATAAGATTTCGACATAGACCAAAATAGTTATTTTGGACTTTGTATTTGTGGGCTTTGTCTTAGGGAGAAAGCAAGCTCAATTATAAATAGAGGGAGTAAGAATCGAAAGATTTATCAAAATTTACAAAGGAAGAGCTTCAAAGGACGCTTGAATCTCATAAACAAAGAATTATTGAAAGAACTGCAGACAAGTCAAAGAGTGATATGGCTTTGCAGGCGCAATCAGCAGGAGAAAAGAAAGACAAAGGAAAATGGTTCGATAATAAAGATAGAGAAGGCTACAACAATTCGACTGGTAGAGTATGTAACACCCCAACTTTAATAATTAATTATTTAATTGTTTATTTGTGAAATATAATGAATTATTGGTGAATTATGTTGATATGTTGTTGTATATGATGTGTGATGTTATGTTGTAGTGTGATAGAAATTAAGGTGAATAGAACATTAGAATAAATTAAATAATTGTTGGTGATTATTTAGATTATTATTTGAAATAACATGATTAGAATATAGTAAGGAAGAGATAGTGAGGGCCTGATGGTAATTGAGGAAAGGCTAAGTGAGGGTAATTTAGGCAAGGTATATTAGGGGTCCAAAGGTTAAACAAGGAATAAAAGGAATAGAGTGTTCATTGTACGCTGGTAAGAGAGTTGGGAGAAAACTGAGAAGAGGCTATGGCACGAGGAATTTGGAGAAATCATTGTAGAAACACGGAGAAGAAGATCACTCTCTAGGAATCTAAGGTAAGGGAGTGATTTATCATTATAATTGATATGGGGTTTAGAGATATGTAGGGATTTGATGAGTTTTTGGTGATTTTATAATATGTTACACTATGATAAAATTATGCTGAAATTGATGAAATAACATGTTAATTTGCCATGAGATTGTGTACATAATGCATATAATGTTCTATGGTTGTTTTATGATGATTGTATGTTGAAAACTACGAGAATATGGATTGTATTGGCATGAAATCATAAGAAGAATTGGGGCTGAACATGTGCAAAATCGCAACAGGATGTTGTTGTATGCTTCGCGTCGCTGGACAGTGGGAAGTGTCGTTGGGCGATGCAATGACGCCTGGTCGTCACCAGGCGAGCTAAGAGCGAAGGAAATAGAGGGAAAACGGTGCTACTAGAATTTTGTATGGAGTGGGTGTCTCGCTCAAGCATTGTTGGACGATGTAGAAGCGAGAGGTGTGTCGCTAGGAGAGCAAGGGACTTTGTCGAGCGATGGACACTAGAAAGGATAAGTGGTGATGTCGCTCCCACGTCGTTGGGCGAGCCTCAGACGATAAACAATATTAGGATTTTTTAAAAGATCATAACTTGAGTTTTAGAACTCTGTTTGAGGCAACATTCAAAGCATTGGATAGATAACGCAATGAGCTATATGTGGGTTGAATAAAATGAGTAAAAAGAGGTATCATTTATGTACCTAGGTTAGCATAGGATTAGATTCAGAAGGGTGGACTATAATGATGCATGTTGTTATAATGCATTGTAATTAATATGATAATAATATGTTATGATTATGAATTATGGAATGATGTTGACGTTATTATGTTGATTTTTTCAATATGAAATACCGTTGATGATTTGGTGAACGGTGATGCACTTGACTAGATGTGGTCGTAATTAATTATGTTGATTATGCATAATGCATTCATAGCATTGTTAGGATGAAAAATCCATTGTTGATTCAGGATATAACTCCAGTGTTGTTGAGGATGTAACACCCGAAAATTCATTAAATTATTTAAATGAATCACTGAGGATTTAATTGTTGGAATTTAGTCGAAGAAGGAATTATCAGAATAATTATAAGAAGCATTATTGGATTAAATATATATTGTTAGAATTGATAATCGAATAATTAGTCAATTTAGTCAAGAGAAATTAATATTGGAAATAATATTGATTTTAATATAATATTATTTTATTAGTTGGATCAAGTTGGGTGTGTGAAATAGCAAGATTAGGAATAGCATTACCAGGCCCATTAAAGTTACTAGTAGACCTATTATTATTATATTAGGTTATGATATATATAAGCTAACAGCCAAAAACCAAAAGAAAAACAATTATCACGTAGCAGTAGAAGAAACAAGGTTTTGGAGACACCAAGTGGGAGGTAAGAAAATTTAGAGAAGTTGTCGTCAAATCAGTTGCAATTTCAACCGGATAATTCGATTGACCGCAAAAACCAAAAGGTAAGGGTGGGGTTCAGATTTTATAGCCGGGAATATGATGGTTAGTATGTGTGGATTTAGGGTATGAATTTATTGTTGTTTGTGTTTGTTTATGGCAATGGATGTTAGGAATTAATTAGTGTTGATTATTGGTGAAATTTCATGTTCCTGTGTTATGTGTTGGTTAGTTTGTGAAT